TATTTCTGTCATTCATTTTCTTCATTTCTCACATTTTTTCTTTACCTGCACAAATTACTTCAAATGCCAGTTTTTCCTCTCATTGTGACTGATCTTAGATTTTCCCTTAGTGCAATTATTATGCAAAAAATATACCAATAACGCATTCTAATTAAAGAAAAAAATGAATAACACGACAAAAATAACTATTAGAATAAAACTTGCAATAAAAAAAAAAAAAATCAGTAAATATCTTCCTGGTTTATACCATCATGACTGTGTGCTGTTCCTCAACAGCCGTTGATCACCTTTCTTTCGCTCTCCAAATTCAATCTCAGTTATGCGTGTACAATCGAATTGATGTTCGACTTTCGCTTTACAAAGTCATTCCTCCCGACATCGCAATGCATGTGCCAGAAAGACCAGAGGCATAATATTCAAGCTGTTGATCTAATGACGTACTTGCAATGTACGTGACACTCGCCTGCCAGCGCCCCCACCAACAGGAAACAGTAGACACAGACACACTTCGGGACTAACACCCGGATTTTTCACACTCACCACCCAGTGTCTTTTCATCGCTGCTACGACGCGGCGTGGCCATCGCCAGTGACTCCGAGGGGCGAGATAGAATGACTTCCGTGCGTGCACTTGTGGCGTCCTGCTCGCGCCTCCACGACGCTTTGTTTTGGTCGGCGAAACGTCAATGGGCGTGACGTCACGGCAAGCGAGCGCCTATGGTTCCCTCGCCCGTGGCTCTCGTGGGCTTCCTAAATCTGACATCAGGACTACTATGGGCCATAAGAGAAAACTCAGAAGTACACATTTTTCTCTCTCGTCAGAAGGTTAAAACGAAATTATATTTGTTTTCTAAATGATCTGCGCTTCACATGAAGTAATTGATTATGTGGGTTCATTCTCCTCGGCCAACCTGTGTCCCATTAACAAAGGCTACGTCAGCGAATATTAGCTTTTGACAGCGATTTCCCTTTTGTTTGTGCGTGAAGACCCTCCTAATCGGTCGATCCGATGCTTTAATAAAATCCGATGTAAATTGTCATTACACCCCCTTGTTTTTTCGTTAACTGCAGTTATGAATACAATACGCATTTTGGTTCATGAACTACCATGTCAATTACCATAGATATTAGTTTATTAACTTGGATGAGGAAATAAAAATGGCATTAAAAATAGGCACAGCAGTGATTTCCCAGGCAGTTTTAATGATAAATGTAACAAAAGCATAATGATAATCAACGTACGTGCACTTGTGCCAGTAACAAATTCACAATGATAACTAACACAGAATCTCACTGAAAAGCTGTGTTGTAAAGGGTGCCAATCTTGGTTTACAACAGCTTCCGGTTGTCTGCATATTCATCTCCTGATAAACTTCCTTTGTTTATTTTAATCATCACAGTATTTTTTTAACTGTATTGTAGTGGCTTACTATTATGATTAAAAATTTGTATGAAGTGTTCCCTTTTAACTGCTAACAAAATGTTTCAGACCATATATTTTTTTTTATGATATATAAATTGAATATTACCTTATGAAACAGGTTTCTTAAAGTGCGAGACCTCTGTACATTTATTAAATATTATAGTCTTCACCTGCTACTAAGTAATCAAAAGTATTCTACAGTTTTAATTAATTGAAATTCCAGGAAAAACTAAACCATAAAGGAGTCAATTAGTAGACCATGTGACCTTACCTGATTTGAATTGGCGGGAAAAATGTACTTTTTACTAGTGCTATGAATATTGATTGTTATTTTTTTTATAAATATTAGCAACAGCAAAATAAGATAATGTAAAATATTTTTGTAAATCAAAGGAAAGGGTAAACAGGCGAGACAGGCAGTACTCATAATTGGCTCACTGGTGACTTAGTACAAGTGTAGAAATCTATGTCTAAAAATAATCAAACGAGTAACTCAGTGGGCGTAGCACGTACGTGCACATCATACCCATCGGCATTGGATTAAAGGTCTATGTACTCTTGCTTTAGGACCCATTAACAGCATTGCCTACTTGACACCTTTAGATCTAAACAAGTTACTTTGGGATATTAATAAGTCAGTATCATATCAGAATCAGGGCACTTCCTTTTCTAGAAATGAAATATTCAGGAGAGAATACATTAAATTATTTTTTCAGCATTATGATACACTGTATATCATTTTTTATTAGTGAGAATAATATATTTAAAACTTTTTCATTACAGTTTAGTAATGAATGCCATATAGAATTAAAGAATTAACATTCACAAGGTGAAAATAGTTTACTCTGATTTTCCATTTTCCGAAACTGTTTCTGTGTTTCAAGTATTATTCACTGACTGGTGAAAATAATTTGGCAAAAATGTATTTCAAAAAGTTTCAAGTTTTGAATAAGAGCTGCATTAAAACTCCCATTACAAAACTGCACAACTAATATTGGTGTAAATATGTAAGCATATACACAAATATATTCACACACATGATAGACTTCCAAGGGTTCATCTTAATAAATACAGCATAGTTATTAAATGTTTTATTGATAGACAAAAGTACATTAGTTGCATTACAAAAGAGTTACCAGAGTAGTACAGTTACATATTTTCTCAGCAATAGCGTTGTCATTACCGATAAATTATATATTTCATGCATATATAGAAAGCTTATCAGTTTATCTCCCTTTGCTTGTTTTCATCAATAGATCAAATGAAATAATAATAAAATCAGCATTTTATAATGCTACATGAATAGTAATTATAATGAGTATATGTGAAACTAAAACTACAAGAAAAGATATCAATACATAAAAAAAGATAAAAATCTGACACACTTTAGGGAATAAAATTCAAATCTGATATAATAGACAGCAATAAATTCTCTAATGCCCAGCACAGGCAGTAGTGGTAAAGCAGAACATATATTATAACAAGTGTTAGAATTCAGGGTGTGATTTTCTGGGGTTGGAGAGAAGCTGGTCAAAGTCAACACTTACAAAAACTAAAAACTAATTCTTGCATAAACCACTGGCACATTCTTTGATTCACAGTAAAAAATAGAGGATATAAACTTCACTACAATCATCAAGATTGTACATAACATTAAAGAAGTTCAGGAGAATGGTTAAACTCCTGTCCATCACAACCACTAGCTACTTCCAAAAGGATCGTCCTCTCATGCAGTCACATGCACAAGTAACCTCCTATTTAAGAACTGTGAAATATTCTCCTAGGAGAGATATATACATATAGAATAAAAATCTTCAAAATTTCCTCTTTTTCAAGAAAACAGCTACTCTGTATAAAAGAACTAAAAATATAATATTAAAAATGAATAAGTGAGCTTTTTGCCCTGACCAGCCCACATACCAGCAACTTCCTCAACTTCAGAACTTCACTTATTATAGAATGTAAAGCTCAACAGAACTTTGTACACAATAAAGTATTGCCAATTAGCTTTGGTAAACCTAAACCCTGCATAGATATAATGCTTCTATATGAAGTATGTTTTAAAGAAAATATAGGACTACATGCAAAGCAAATATAATATATATAATAATAATCTCCTTCATAGAAATAACGCTATAAAATCTTATTGACTTCATGAAACACTGACCACGGAAAGATAATGGGCCACACACGATGGATCAAGTCGGGGCTAAAGTCACTCTAACTCCAGCATAACTCGAGACAACCAACTCTTATTCATATATGAGGTAAAATTTTGCTAAAGCTATAGGCTGCATAAACAACCTTTCCAGTCTAGATTCAAACACTGAACACTAAAATCAAAAGCCAATATATTTAAACACTCCTGGTTTCAAATACACAAGCATTTGCATTTACCTCCCATGGCACACTTCAAAGTTAGACATGACTCAGCAGCCTGACCCCTTCCACCAGTGCAGCTAAATGAATGTATCACAAGCTAAGGAGGTTACAAAAGAAAATATTGGCCATAGCCAAATACAAGCAAAGGAGCTCTGGTTGGGAATCATGACAGCAGGCACCCAAGTCCCCTCTCCCTGGGGGCAGCATCAACTCTTACCTAGAGATAATAAAACTTTATTTCTACTACAGCAAGTCATGAATGGAGCCATGAATACTAGAAATATAGCATCACTGCAATAATCAACATTAGAAAAGGGCCAGTGATATGAATATGTTGATGCAGCCATAAGGCCGAGGGATGATATGCCACAACCTACGCATCTCAACCTTACCGGCTGGTTTGGGCCTAAAACTGCTGTCCAGCCCCCTTCCAGAGACAACTTTGATGCTTAGGGAAGAACTCCTCAAGGTAGGCCAACTCTTCCCCTACCACAGCAAGAGGCTCCACGCCAGGAGACAAGTACCTAATTTATCACTTAATATTACACTAGCAAAATGTTAACTGGAATTGTAAAATGGCAACTTGTTAAAAGTACAATTATCATATATCCAAATTGATATAGATCTATTATTTCTGCAAAAAATCTATAGAGCTAAAGCATTCATTTAAATGGTAAAAAGGCAATTATCCAGATCTTACAATACAAAATAAATTGGGCACTTATTCCTCAGTGTATCTGATAGGAGCTGCAGCAAGGATCAAGTCACATACACCATCTGAGGAGACAATATTGTGTTTACAGTTTTCCTGAATTATCTGTGGGGCCTGAACAAAGCAATGAGACATTGAGGGATAAACTCGGTTTTGTGCCTACACACCACATTTGGCACAAGATACAGTTCACGAGGGGGAAGACACACCTCCCCATAACCTAAGGCTGATTCACGCAAGGGGGGGGGGGGGGGGACGCAGCGGAGAAGGTGATCGAGCCTGGACTGCATGGATAGCATGTGTGATGGCTAACTATGTATGACCCGTACAGAAATTCTCTTAGAAGCAAGGACTGCAGGTGTGTGAGCACTGTCTTCTCCAGTAAAGATGGCTACTTTTTCTTTATCATTATACACCACATGTTTAAAACTCTATATGAAAACTATGAATTATTTCTCCTCACAGTGCAGAATCAGGCACCTTCATCCTACGTCTCCATCACTTCTAATATCTGTTCCTGTCTTACCATAACCCTACAACAACAAAAACAAATGTCTGCCAGAAATGTACAGATTTTACCTATTCTACAAGCATTTTGTGAGACCATGAAGGTCTAAACTTTGCAGTTTAATGTTGCATTAATACTTCAGATGTCCAGTACCCAAAATCTGGCAACAACTTGAGAGTAAATTGCTGTTGTAAGTTACTGGCATGACAAGACTATGTATGGCAACAGTATGATGCACCGTATACGTTATCTAGACCGTTTGATTCAGTCTTCAAATTATTACTTAATGATACTCTGTTTAAAGTTATAAAACCTTCAGCATTGGTGTGTTACCTGCCAAAGACTACATGTGGTAATACTAAAAACCAGATCTTGTATCCATAGTTTTAAGCTAAAGTTGTCATCAGGTAATAAAGTAAATTGTCATGTATGGCAGACCGGACGACCCCACAGTCAATTTCTCCCCTAAAAGAAACTACTCGCAATAAACACACACAGCAGACACACTCAAATAATCTCAGAGGCCGTTATCCATCTCTACAAACACAGGCATGCAAAACTCTTCAAACAAGAAGACCTCACAGGAGGCAGCCACTATATAGGGTTGAATAATATATATGAATGCTATCAGTTCTACACGCTATAATCTTACTAATAATATAAAGTAATAAAGAGGCATTGCATATGCAGTTTCATTTTAGATTCTAAAGTCTTACAGGTACTAGGGGGTTCTAAATTTTTGCACAGTAAAAGTCAAAACCTTAAATTATGAAAAATTTGTCCAAGTATAGACAGAGGAAAGACACTTAGAAGGTGAAACCAGCAAATTGCATCCAAAAATGTGTCAGGGTCAGTTGTTCAGAGCTTGGGGGACCCGTCTCTCACCATCAACTCTGCCTCAAAGTCGCACGTGGCCCCACGTGCTACAACACCGCCTGCAGCTCTCAAACACTAAATTATTCGCTTCTTGAAAGTCCTGGATATGTTGACTTGTGTTGAAAAATGGAGGTACAATGATGAAGCCAATACATGAGATTATGATAGCCATTATGAATATAAGCAGTGTTTTATATGAGATATGATAACAGCTTATCCACCTAGAGGAATGATCTATAGATAAATTCACCCTCAACAAATGCTGGAGGGAACACATCCCCGGTCTAAAAGGCAAAAATAATCGCTTCTTCTACTGTATTAACTACTGTTTTCCCTGAGGGAAAATATGTTTCTTCAGATGACTACATTTCCTAGTGAGGTGGTAATATCATGAGGAAGCCCGGTGTATCTGTGTCACAATTTTCTAATGGTAGAGTCACCCCGGTGGAAAGCCTAGGTATTCTGTTAAAAGTACATGATATATGGAATGACATCTATTTAGTTCTCAATCTGAATGATATATCTCCATTACAAGGAGTCAAAAAGTGGATATAATAATGGCGTCTGATTCACCTCGAGAAGTAAGGCCAAAGACTAGACATCCAGTTTATCTTACCTATTCTATATAAAGACCTCTTGGCACTGACCTGGTAACAGAATATTTATAATGTTCTTAGTAAAGCCTTTGTCTTAACTTTAGTCTCACTTCTCAGAGTCTGGTGAACAACGCAAACTTGTGTTTTACTGACTGTAAGACGGAGTGTCATCGAGGATCAACCTTCCCTGAGTAGCAGTGGGTAGCCGAGCCCTAGTGAGCCTCCCCTATAAGGATGCACTGACTTTGTCACAAACCTTACATGAATTGGGGCATGGGAGCACTGACCCATACTCCTCATGCGTTCATTCTGCTGATCGTCCAAGCTTAATATCTGACTAAAATCTTAACTAACGACCACCGATATATCTAATTAATATATGGCAATATATGGTCACTCTACTTCTCACTTTGGATTTCTTGGTTAAAATTTGACATACTATTGCCTACCATCCTTGCAGCTGGAGGTTTCTACTCCAGCCCCTGACATGAAGCTCTGAGTGTGTGTTATCAAAACACAGCACACACAACTTTCAACCATTCATTCTAAAGCCATCAGATCAAATACCCTTAAGCTAATATGACCACAACCTGAAACACAAGATGGCTACATGACTTGAGTTATGCCTCATATACTGCAAGTTGGAAGAAAGCGTAATACGTGGCCATCTGGCATCCAGATGGATGGTCATGGTAAAACTTCAGGGTCTATTAAAGCTGTTACCAGGAGCTAGGACAGCCATCCTGTTCACTAACGCTGAAGGGTCTCTCACAACAAACTATTTACACCCCGTCTCGCTTGTTCGACCTTTTCCCCATTGAGAAAAATAGAAAGAGGAACATTTCACTTACAATTTCCTAAAGTATGTGGGCAAGAACAATGGCAACTTACAAATAATGTACTGAAATAGTTTTGGTATCTTGTGAGAAACGCTTCAAGTTATATATATCCTTATCAATTTAGCATGTGAATAAGTACAAAAGTGAAATACTCTGCAGTTCTCCCCTAAAGTTAATTAGGGACTACTCTTTGATTATTTCTTGCATTCTGTAAAATGTGTCCAAACATCTCCGGAGGTGATATGATCACTCCTGCGTCTCTTGAAAGGAGTAAGTCGAACAAACGAGGATCGAGTTCTGACCTCTGCTGCAGCCACCTGTCCTCCTGACCACCACAACCAGAAACTCCACAACACAATGCTGGTGAATTTATATATTTATATGCGTACTTTTAAATGTGCTGTGATCTGCTAACTTATTTTTCTTCTGAGGCCTGTAAAAGCCAGTAAACTGCTTCTGTACCAACCCTGTCATTCTCACTATGGTATCATCTTAATAACTGAAATATGGGAAAGCTTAGGAGACTTTTCAGGCTGGGTTTTACAGTGCTCACTGGAAGTTAAGCTTGTCACTTCACACTTACAGATGCTTCATGTGACTCTCCAGAGAGAGCTTTTGATTCTGCTTCAACAGGACCCGTGGGGAGATCCATCTTCTCGGTTCCCCTGTTTCCATTTTCCCCTTGTGCCTTCTCAAGCCTGCTGCTTTCTTTTGCTGCAATTTCCTTTTGCCATTCAGGATCGTCACCATAGGGAGAGTCTGGATGATTATAGCCTGGTGAATATGGCTCCTCCTTGGGTTCTTGTAACTGTACAATAGGTTCTAGATTAGGACCATCTTCAGTTCCCTCATCTCCATCTTCAGTGCCATCGTCTAAGTCGTCATCATCATCATCATCCTCAAATTCATCCTCATTTTCTCCCTCTGCTGGCTCTTCTGACTGCATCAAATACTTGGATTCCCTCAAAATCTTGATTTTCAAGCTCTTAATGGGGTGGCGTTTCTTTTTGTGTGTTTTAAGGCATCTTTTTAATCTAAACATGGCTGGACATTCATCACATTTGATTCTACGCCTACCTTGTCCTGGCCCTTTCCCGTGCATCCTTTGGATGTGGGTCTTCAGGTTGGATCGCTGGGCAAATCCCGCCCCACAGTGATCACATTCAAAAGGCCTCTCCCCAGAGTGCAGTTTCATATGGATTCGTAAGTTGCTCATCATGGTGAACTTTGCCCCACATTCCAAGCAGTTATATGGTTTGATTGCACTTGGATTTTTTTTCCTTCCTCTCCTTGTTGGGGTTCCAGCTTCTCCGCTATGAACTCTATTTTTATGGGCTTTAAGATTTGACTTTTGTGTGAAAGCTTTATCACACTGATCGCATTTATGTGGCCTTTCACCAGTGTGAGTTACAGCATGAGTTTTGAGGTTGGCAATCTGTCTAAAAGCTGCATCACATTGGTCACACTTGTAAGGCCTTTCATCCGAATGAATTTTCTGATGAGTTTTAAGTGTTGACAACTGAGTAAAGCAAGATTTGCACTCTGGGCATTGGTATGGCCTCTCTCCTGTGTGAATACGCCTATGGGCCCGAAGATTACCTTGCTGGGTAAATTTTGAGCCACAAACCTCACACGTAAATGGCTTCTCTCCTGTGTGCCTCCACATATGGTTCTTTAACTGAGTGCTGTTCTTAAAGACCTTTTCACATTCATTGCATTTGTGAATCACAGGTATGCGTGGAGGTTTAGGTTCTTTAGGCTTTTTGGGTTTAGGTGGCTTTGGAGCAGAACCCATCTGTGCCTCATGGACAAGCATTGAAGTACCATAATCCTGGTTATAAGGCTTAATATCATGGTATGGCTTGACTTCCATATCATCATCCAATCCAAGATTTTCTCGATGGTCTCGGTCCTGACTATCACTTATATACTGGGAAAACTGTGTGTTGTATGGGCTGCTATAAAACTGATGTTGTGGAGGAAGTGGTGCACTTGAAGGATCAGGCATGGGTGTTACAGATGAAGCAGGAGTTGGGGGCCCAAGGCTGCTGTGGCTCAAGTCTCCACGGTACATTGATTCTGAGTAGCGTGGCGACTCCACTCGCATTGATTCCCTCAAGGGGTGAGGAGATTCTGTCATCATTCGATGAGAGGGAGGATCGTAGTGTGAGCGCATGGGAGGAATGGATGACTCTGGAGGTGGTGGGGGGTTCATTCTTACCCCTGTGGAGTTACTTCCACTGTCATGATTTATTCGCAGATTTTCAGGCATTAGCTGATGAGATGGTTCAGTCACACAAAGGTTTTCTGGGACCATTCGCGATGCATCAGAGGTCACCCTGAGATTCTCTGGCATCATGGGATGGGGCTGCGGGGTCTCTGCACCAACACGAAGGTGATGTGATGCTTCACCTACCCTAACATGCTGACTTGTTTCTACACCAGGGCGGTGATGCTGCTGTAAATCAGAACCTACTCGTAGATGCTGAGGAGTGTCTCCACTTAGCCTCATGTGTTGAGAATTTTCTTCTATACGCATGTGTTGTGGAGTTTCTGCCCCTACTCGTAAGTGTTGTGAATGCTGGTGTTGTGGAGTCTCGGCTCCAACTCGAAGATGTTGAGGAGTTTCGGCCCCTACACGTAGGTGCTGTGGAGTTTCTGCTCCCACACGGATATGTTGTGGAGTTTCAGCCCCTACACGCACGTGTTGTGGGGTTTCTGCTCCAACTCGAATGTGCTGGGGAGTTTCATTTCCGACTCTTAAGTTCTCTGGCATCATCCGTTGATTACTTAGGTCCGTGCCATATCTCAGCGGGTCAGATCGAAGACTCTCACTTGAGGAATAACGCAAATTTTCAGGCATCATTCTTTGGTCAGTTGGGGACCGCAGATTTTCTTGCATGGTCCTCTGGGAAGGGCTAAAGTATTCTCTGAGACTCTCTTGTACCATGCGCTGTGCATCTGCATGACTTCTGATTGATTCCTGGACTGTACGCTGTGGGGGTTCTGAAGGAGGCCTCAGAGGGTCAGACATTATGCTACGGTACGAGGTCTCAGGACTTCGAACCGATTCAGACACCTGAGGTCGTAGAGCCTCTGCCACAAGCCGTTGTGGATCTGACTGAAGACGTTGTAGATCAGAAACAAGACGTTGCGCATTGGAGGCTAATTGTTGTAAATTTGATTCTTGCGCTCTCTGCAGGTCAACAGGGTTTCTATAGGGGTCACTTGGAGGTCGCTGGTAAGGGTCAAGACTCTGCTCTTCTGTACGCTGCAGCTCAGATCTTATGCGCTGCAGGTCTGATGGCAAACGCTGAGGCTCACTAGACTGTCTGTATGGGTCAGCAGACATTCTCTGACTATCAATTGCATAGCGACTTTGATCAAGTGTCTCGGCAGCCAATCTATATGATTCTGGAAGATACCTATGAGCTTCTGGTGGTGCTCCAGTCATGAACTTTGAGCCTGGGAACATCATGTTATGTCCTAATGCCATGAGCTGTGCACTCTGGGACATAAGGCTTGTACTAGGGCTGGAGATGCTTGGGTAGGATGCTGGTAAATTCTGTTGTCCTGGGACTGCAGATGGATGTGGGAACATAGCTCTTCCATCAAGAGCACTGGCTGGCGTACTGCTACGGCTTCCACTCTGCATCTGTTGGGAGGAAACAAACCATTTTTCACTGACCTTCTAAATATAAGATATTCAACATCATCTTTATTTTCATCTAAGAATACAATTACATTTCTTGCTGATACGTGCAAGGGTTGGCAAGTGCTGACATCTAATTTCATCATCCCAAGGTATTGTCACAAATATTTTAAATTGAACTTAAATTTTTGTGTGATAAATTGTACTTGCAAGTTTCAACTAGCAATATGTCCTGAAAAATTCCTCCACCTAACCTTCACCTGAATCATTATTACCAAGTTTCAATCCTGAATGTAGCATTTTTTAGCACATTGCAAATTACTTAATAGTAATAGTAATAGTAATAATAATAACAATAATAATAATAACTATATTCATAATGGTAATAAGAAAAATTAGAAAAATAACAATGATGATGATCAAATAGATATAATTAAAATAATAACAACACTATCTAAAATTATAAAAAAAACTGACATTCATGATAAAGATAATATCAAGAGCAATAATGAATCAATGACCAATAATTAAAATCAAAATTAATAATATTCAAGAATAAATAATGGTAATAATATAAGTAATACTACTACTGTCACTCCCACTACTACCTGATATCAATGATAATGATGATGATAACATTGATAATGATAATAATCATGATGATAAGAGAAAGAAAAATAGTACTACTATTACTCTTACCTCCAGATGTTAATATAATAATAATAATAATAATAATAATAATAATAATAATAATATTAATAATAATAATAATGGTAATTACAACAGCATCTCTTATAAAAATAATAATTATAATAATAACAATCACATTAATAATGGTAGTTACAACAATAATTACAGCAATACTGATAATGATGACTATGAAAGAAAATACCTGAGATGTTCAAGGTTTACAAAACAAGGTCGTGCCTTCAGGCCTATCCACACACAAGGTCAAATCTGATTGCCAAACTTGCCTTTTGACAAGGAAGTTTGAACATGTATGGGCCTGTCTCTCTAATTTCACCATATTGTTTATGTTACATCCTGACTGTTTTAGTGTGTGGTAGTTTAGTTCTTAACTATTCAGTACCAGCCTAACTGTATGGCAGTATTACACTGACCACAAGACAGAGAATTGTGTAGTAAAAAAAAATATATCAATTAATTCAGTCTGCATTGCTTATAAAACTCTCCATTCATCTAATCCATTCAGGATGAGGTGACATCCCCTCATCTCATGGTAGACTCTCCAAGCTAGAATGATCTCCACAATGTCATAGGTGGTATGCACACTAAACAGTTGTTCACTTATTTGGCCCTGACTACAGTCACTTATGAGAAACAGCTCTTCAAAAGGATGCTTAACCCATTGCCGCCAGGGAAAATGAACAAAAAATGGGGGAAATTCTGTGCTCATTTTTTATATTTTTGTGATATGTCCCTGTTACTAGATGGCTCTGCTAGTGCTTCGCCATAAAGGATTTCACCTTTCCTTGAATTGGCGCAAAAAAAC